ACTTTAATCCATTAAAAGTGGGGTGAATACTAATCCATTAAGTGTGACAAACAAAAAATTGGAGTACATATCAGTAAATAAACCCATTAATTGAAGGGACAAAATGTCCAATCAGGATTTGAGTTCGATTCTTTCGTATAAATTTGTTAATAATATGTACAAAAAATAAATAGGTATAGTACAGTATATCAGTAAATGTAACAGCGGTTTCATGTATAAATTCAACTGCAAGATAAATAAATTTAGCTATTGATTCTTTTTAATTATGTTTTAGAGCATTTAAACTCTATGAATATACTACTATACAACTTTCTTTTTCGGTTTTAACAATTTATATTATGCGAGTTTTAATTTCAGTATTGACGACGCTGACACTGACAAGAATTAGTGTGAACCAATTTCAGTATTTTCGATAAAATGTAGTTCTAATAAAAATGTATAAATTTGTCTAAACTGTAGTTCCAATTAGTGTGATAGTTTATCAAAACTTACATTAGTCACAGATTGTAATGTTTAAATAACAACAAACTCATTCTCAAGAGCATATCAAATCATAACAAAGCGATTGCGTCGTTTAAAGAAACATTATCCAGACTTCCTCTATTACTCGAATCTTAGACGTCGACGGATGTCAAACTTTCTACGACGCCGTTAACTGGACTTTTTATTTCTTCTTAGATATGAGCTTTTCATCTCAAGCCCAAAAACGGCTCCAATTAGATATGGGATCTGTAGCTAAGCGTGAGTTATTGCCATCTCATGCCTTTTTTTATAGAATTCTTGCGAGAACAATTCTAAAAGCATCTTTAACCTTAACACCCATTAAAATGTATTAAGTTATTTTTTAATATTATTTTTTTTAAAACCATTGTCTTAAGGTTCAATACACAGAACCTTTCTCATCAAAATTCATAAAAAATTATTATTTTTTAATAAAAAAGGTGTTAAGACACAAAAAAAATCACCATTAATGATGCTCTGAAGGTTAGTTTGCATTATCCGCATCTGGCGGATCCATATGATAACATTTCAACAGCAGCTAAGAACAACACTGTGGTTAGTTTGAGAAAAGTCCTTGTCCATTTGTTTTTGTACATGAGTTGAAATCTCACATGTGGTGGTTCCTTCTGGGCAAACAGAATGATGTTGGTGGTTGCAGCGGTTCTGAGGAGAGGATTCAAACTTAAAGAAGCCATCCGACTTGGTGTGTGACAGATTCAAAAGTTCTAAATCTTTGGCTCATAATCTCTTCGGTAGCCGGAAGCAACACGAGCAAGAAAATCTATAAATAATTGACAAACACACACAATATATATAGCTCCTTATAGGTACGCAAAAAAAGGCAAATCACAAATGGTATCTTTTTTTTTTTGGTGAAGATAGAAAAAGGGTTTTGAATCTGACAACAAAAAAGGTTTGACCTATACTTGTTCGATTTTTTTTGTTTTTTTGGAAACTTTTCTTGTTCAAACTTCATCACTTATTATTCACTTTGTTTCATTTTGCGATTCATAGATTTACATTTACTCGATCTTTTAGTCAGTTTATCTGCAAATGCATATTGTAAATACAGTTTATATATGTACGGAGGAAAAGGTTTTGTCCCTTTGCTTATGTCTTTATTGATGACGCAATGTAGATCCAGCTTATTGCTACTTCTGGTGCTTTTTTCTCAGATCTGAGATTTTTTTTGTTTGCTCCGATTGGGAAATATGTATATATATTTTTTTTTTCTAATAAAAAAAAGAGAGAGTAAAAGTCGTTGGAGGCAGCGGTTCATCGATCTCTTCCTGAGGAAATTTTTTGTTAAAAAGCATGAACAGATCGATAAACCTCTGCATCCAGCGTTTACCTATTCAACAAAGTGAATGAAAACAGAGTCAAGTGAAAATTATTGTCTGGGAAATTCAAAACACAATAAAAAGATTTTGTGTTCTTCTTTGACTGTTTTTATAATGAGAATTCAGCCTCTTTAGTTTCCCATATTTATCCCCTTTTTTTTGTTTTGTTAGTTGAGCATTATCTATACATGTTCATAGCTAACTGATATGCCTTGCAGGTTTTAATTTAATGTTTTAAAGTTTGATGAAAAAGAAGTTTAAGATTATTTTGGGAGAGAAGATTTTTGTATGAATTATGATTGATCTTGTAGGTTTCATTGAACTCATTCTTCGTCTAGATTGAATGCGAGTTGAACTCGAGAAAGTTTATTGCTTTTCTTCCAATGTGAAAGGTTTCTCGATCAATCGGATCTCGGATTCTCATGATTCATCTCATTCTACAACATCGGTTTCTTTTGTTTTCGCGCTCACGATTATTATCTTAGAGTATGTTCCTTTTGATGTAATTTCGCTGTTTCATAAAAGTGATGAATGCTTGCAAGTTTAACACATTTGCCTACTCCTTATTGTTGATTATTTTCCGCAGAATCAATTGTAGTGATGAGATTCTCTATGGATACGTGACGATTCATAGTTCTTAACTTCTTATTATTGAGGCATTGCTATTGTTGAAGTTGATTTGGTGTTAAAATGTTCATCAACAATGATCAATGGACTCCAAAAAGTGTTTACGCCGCCACGCTTTTTAAAAAAAATTGATTTTGCATCATACTAGTAACAGAAGACAAGTCATTCATCATAGTTGCATACACCTAAAGAACACTCGCATTTCAAATAAAACTGATACTATTACGGTAATAGTATTACCAAAAGAACACCCGTTCAAACCTTGTGACCCATTCATCAAACAGTAGCGGTAAGAGCCTTGACGACACCATATCGGCTAGGACTGTAAGCATATGATCAGACCACTCAACCTTCCCCCAAATCTCACGATTTTCGCGTCTTTCAAGCGCAATCACCGCACACCAAACCATCTTCATATGGCCGACAAAAGGAGGTAAACTCCCGTCCCACAAAACCGCCATCTTTCCACCGTAATCAGCCAATTTAACAAAAACATCATGAGGAAACTTAGGCAGTCCTACTAAACCCTTCAACTTCTTCCAGTTTCTTACCTCAGTGTCATACCACGAGAAACATTCTTGAACATTCTCTCCCAAGTGATTTATCACGCAAGCTGAAACAAATGGGTTTAGGATCCCAAATTTGTGTCTTTGTGTCAAACACCTCGAACCAGTTCTTGAATGAATCCATCTTTGTAACATCCTGCTACATATATCTTTTCGTCAAGAGCACTAGCGTAACATCTCTCCAGCTGCACCCTCGAGCTTGGACCCTTTTGCCACGTGTGAGACCGACAATCTAGAATCCAGACATTAGAGGAATCCTCTGCCAATGTTGTCGATGCTAGAACCAACCGACACAAGACCCGAGACGTTGGTAGGAGGAGAATGGTTAACTGGGACTGTAACCAAAACATACCCACTTGACTCCTCCTTCTCAGTGGCGTCATTAGTTAGGGTTTGATTAGGTTTCCGACAGAGAGTGAACCAGCGATATTCATCGGGACAGTAGTGGACGCAGACATAGAGACAACTCTCGGTGTGATCTAACAGTGATCGGAACTTGTAAAGATCCGGCGAAGCAAGGAGAGATCGGAAACTTTTGGAGACGAGTGAGAGTCTAGGATAGTACAACCTCGAGACTCATGCGAGACAATTCAGTAGCAGATCATCGGGAAGTGACGGATTTGGGTTCGATTGCAGAGTCGGAGACGACGGCTCCTTCTGCTTCTTCTTCGTTCCCGGGGAAGACATTGACGGAATCCACGAGACGAAATCGTCCTTAGGTCAATCGGCGCAAGTTAGCACCAAGCATCAACCTTTTGATAAACGCAGGTTTCTCGGAGCCAAAGCGGCTAATCGAAATCAAGAAACGACGTCGGTTTGATCGAACCGAAGGAGAAGCCATGACCGAATCAAACGACGTCGGTTTGATTAGTCTATATGTAACAGATATTGAGGCCTAAATATTTTGGGCCATGTATGTATCTTACAAGCCCATATGGATTTAGGGTTTCCTAAACCCTTTTCTTTTTCTCTTCTGGTCAAGCGCGTCTATAAAAGCCTAAAGTCTCATCGTCTGGGAACAATCATCATAAACCCTAGTTTGTTTCCGCCACACTTCCGCCATTTTTCACTGTTGTGTTAGCTAGAAAACATGGGAAGCGATACAGAAGCAGAGAAGTCGATTCTAAAGGAGAAGAAGAAGGCTATTTCTCTAGCTCCTATTGCTAAACCTCTCGCTGGCAAAAAACTCCAGAAGAAGACATTCAAACTCATTCAAAAAGGTACGAATCTAATCTGACCGATAAGTTAAGACTTTCGAGCTCGATTTTTGTGAAGAACTATATATCCTTTATAGTGATATGATTAGAATTATGTAGAACCTTGTCCTCATCCCTGTCTATTGATAAAGAGTGTTAATTTTAGTTTCGTTTGTTGAGATTTTAAAAGGAATTGATCTCTGATACTATATGGGTTTTGTTAATGTTTGGTCAGCTGCTGGAAAGAAATGCTTGAAGAGAGGCGTAAAGGAAGTGGTCAAGAGCATAAGAAGAGGCCAAAAAGGGTTAGTTACATATAATCTTTGTGTTTTGAATGTTACTTATGATTGTTTGCGTTGCAATATGTTTAGTTTTTGTTTAAGCCGTGTACAACTAAGCCGATGCTCTGGATTAAACATAATGAATGTAGCATGGTACTGTGCACGGAAATTGAAATATGGATCGACATGTCTGCCATCTCTGATATCTCTTTGATGAGAGGGCCTGGTTTAGATCCACATTTTTTTGTTAGGTTTGATCTGATATATAGTATGAATAAATGAACTAGTTATTCTACCTTTTTAATGTCAAGTTCGTGTACAAATAAGCCGATGCTCTGGATTAACAATAATGAATGTAGCATGGTACTGTGCACGAAAACTGAGTTCTTGCGGATCGACATGTCTGCCATCTCTGATTTCCTTGATGAGAGGGCCTGGTTTAGATCCACATTCCGTGTCTTTGTTTATTGTTATGATCAAGTTTCACTTTCCATTGAGTAGTTTGTTTTGTAAACTCGTGTACAATTAAGCCGATGCTCTGGATTACTCATAATGAAGGTAGCATGGTACTGTGCACGAAAACTGAGCTTTTGCGGATCGACATGTCTGCCTACTCTGATTCCCTTGATGAGAGGGCCTGGTTTAGATCCACATTCTCTGTTTTTTTATGTTTCATATTCCTTGTATGTCTTTAATTTGCTAATTGAGGTGAAATCCGTGTACAATTAAGCCGATGCTCTGGATTAAAACAGAATGAATGTAGCATGGTACTGTCCACGGAAACTGAATTACTTGTTTGAAATGTCTGTGCCCTCTCTGAGTGACCAATTGGTTCTTTGATTTGCGGGCCTGGTTTAAACACACATTCTCTTAGTCTTGTTTTCCATTAAGTCGGATACTTTTGTTGTTGATGCTACTATATGATTTGTGTTCTAATTTATTGTTTGTGTGCAGGTTATGTGTTATAGCTGGAAACATATCTCCGATCGATGTGATTACCCATCTTCCAATCTTGTGTGAGGAAGCTGGAGTTCCTTACGTATACGTTTCATCCAAAGAAGTATACCAATGTTCTTCTTCCTTAATTCAATTTCTCTCTTATTATGGTTCCATATCTCGGGTCTAAGACATTTGATTGTATGTTGCAATTCAGGATCTTGCGCAAGCCGGGGCTACAAAGAGACCAACTTGTTGTGTCTTGGTCATGCTTAAACCGGCAAAAGGAGAGCTGAGTGCAGAAGATCTTGAAAAGTTAAAGACGGACTACGAACAAGTCTCCGAGGATGTTAAAGAGCTTGCTTCTTCTGTAATCTATTAGAAACTATAATCTGTGAACGAACGAACAAAAAACACACTTAGCATGTGTTTCTGTAGTGCTTAAGGGGTTCAATGAATATTGTGAGATTTTAAGGCCTGGATTGCAAGTTACTTGGCACTTTTATTCAATTTTGTGCACGATTTGTAGTTTTAGTTTTGAGCGATTGTAATTTAGAATTTTAAATCTTAACACTGTTTTATCAGGCGGAGAATTATTGGTGGCAGTTTTTATTGGCGTTTATCTCGTGTAAATGCTAGTTTGTTTCTTTATGGTTGATAATGAAACTTGAACAACTTGTAGACATTATTAAGAAAAAGCACTTTCATTAGGCGGAGTTAAATATGCAAAATTATTGTGAAATCAAGACAATGAAAAATATGTCACTTGTTTTGATTTCTTGTTGCCTTGTTGGACACAAAATTTGTATGGCATACTAAATTTTTTTGGGGAAAAAAATGAAATACTGTATAAAAAAGGAAAAATATCTTACAAGAACTTTTGTCGTGTATTACACTGGGGGTTAAGATTCTGATTCTACTTGTCGTGTATTGTTGTTATGTGCTAGATTCTGATTCCGCACGCAACTAGAGAGGTAGGGTCAAGAAGTGGGGAATGTTACAGTTAGAATAGTTAAAATAATGGGGGTCCAACTGTAATAAACCATAATTATGTGGGTCTCTTCTGCAAAAAGTTCAGTTAAAAATACTCAACTTGTCAGATTTTTCTTCTTCTCT